AGCCCTTTCAATTTCATCGAAAATGTGGTGTACTTGATCTATAGTCGAATGCTTGCCACAAAATCCAAATTGATGGTTTGGTATTAGCTTTTCGGAGCCTATTATAGACATTAGTCACTTGTAGAATAGCTTTTCAAAGAACTTCGAAATGATTGGTAAAATTGAAATTGGTCTATATGACGATATGCATTCTAGCGGTTTGCCTACTTTTGGAATCATTTTTACCTCTGCGATCTTCCATAGTCTAGGAATACATTTTAGATTTATTATTGCATTGAATTGCATTAGCAATTTGCGAACAGATTTATCTGGTAACTGCTTTAAAACTTCGGATGTTATAAGGTCAAAGCCAGGCGCCTTTTTATTTTTCAGGTCTTTCATTGCTCATTTTAGTTCGCGTTTTGTTATTCGATCGATTTGCTGGTTTCTTCTCTCTGTGACAATCAGTAATTCATCACACTATACATCATTAGACTGAAATATTTTTGTCAGGTTATTTGCGAAAGATCTGGTTTTCTCCTCATTGCTTCTAGTCCATTTTCCATTGCTGTCTTTGATCGTTGGTGTGCATGTAAAGGATTGTCGATTTCCACAATGAGTATTCTGTTTTTTTTAGTCATTTACTCATTTTTGATAGACGAATCTCAGTTTTTAAACGTTTAGTAGCTTCATTAGGCCTGCTTTTATCTAGAGAATATCGAGTTTGTTGCCTTCTTTTTCTTAGTTTCTTCTTCTCTTTTAATAGACTCAGAATTTCTCTTGGATAGTTCTCCCCTACAGTTTTTCTTCTATATTCAGGGGTACTGATCCAAGCTGCTCTTTGAAGTCTCTTTCAAGTTCATCACAAGTGCTCAGTGAAGTTGAGAGGTTTACACTGTCTTCAAGCAATGCTTCAAAAAAACTCCAATCTGTAGATTTATTAGTCAGGTATGGAGCGGGACCTTTCTTTATGATTGTGTCACTTAAATTTAATTATATGGGCGAATGGTCGGTGTGCAGATCTAAACCTTGTTTGATTTGCATGTAGTTTGATGATATTTTTTAGTGAGAAAGAAATCTATAATGTCAGGCAATTTATTTGGATCGGTCGGCCAGTAATTTAGTTTTCCTGCTGAAATGAATTCGCATCCCGTTTCTATTTCAGCCTTATACAGTTCTCTTCCCCTTGTTGTTGTGATGCGTGAACCCCAATAAGAGTGTTTCGCATTAAAATCTCCACCTACAATAAACTTAAATTTGTGTCTTCTTATTAGCTGTTTATATTCCTAATCTGTGATGTTATGGGGGCTGTAAGTAGCAGTTATTGACAATGGTTGATTATTTGAGGGGATGTAAGAAGCAGTTATTGACAATGGTTGACAGTGACAGTTGTTGTTTAAGACATTTGAGTACTACATTTGCTTTCTTCATAATGATCCATGCTTTTCCGAATAATTTCAGTACTTCCTTCTCTCGCACAGTTATCTGGATGTATAGTATGATATATGAAATAATTCTTGAATGCTATAAAAGACTGTGCAGTAAAATGTGTTTCGTTCACAAGGCAAATATCGATTTGTTCCATGGTCAGTAATATTTCTAGATCTCATTGGTGCTTTAGCAGACCATTCGCGTTCTATGTCATAATTCTTAAGCAATTTTTCTTTTATTTTTTAAATTTTCGTTAAGTTTTTGTTTCAGCTTGGGTAGTCGGACTTGTATTGCGTTGGTTACTACTTCCTGTTTTGTATGTTTAAAAATGAAATTTTTAAAAATAGAAGAGAAATTGCCCTATAAATATGTAGTCTTTTAAAACTGACAGAAATATAACTGGGAATAGAGTTTGGACCGTGTTTTTGGTTAAATGTTTTGGTCTAAATCGATCGTTATTTGAAATGTAACATAAATGAAGATTTATGGTTACTGGAAATAATGCATTATTTCAATTAATAAATAAGCTGGAGAAATGAATTTAAAACGTATGATATTTTATGTAGTTCAACTCAATATTAAAACGTATTGTCCGTCACTAGGCTGGTTTGCAGTTGATGTATGCATCTAACTTTCAGTCTATTTAAGAAATATAAATCTAAATCAATCAATAAATCTAAACTAAATCAATATAAATAAATCAATTCACTATTTTGGCGTTTTCTTTAGTTAAAATTACGGTTCCTTAAGGTTAAACTTATAAATCCCACCCTTCTTTCACATTAAATCCCAATTGACAATATAATTATTTATTCATAAAATCAAGAAATTAAAAATAAATTATAAGTTAAGCACTTCATTTATTAATATAAATTTATTTTGTTTTAAAACAAACAATTTAGATAAAGCTACAACGAGAGGCTGCTGAAATGCATGATGATTTTCTCATTGTTAGTTTCTTTAACAGCTTCTTTGAGAGCATGACGGCAAGCATCGTTTTTATATTCTGTCTTAATTCCGCAGTCATGTTCGATCAAACCAATTTTATTGGCAAAGAAAACGACGAGAATGTTCTCCTTTCCAGTTTCAGTTGCATGTTTGAAGCAAATCTTAAATAGCCGCACGGCCCATTTTAAAGCTTCTACAGACTGACGGGATAGATTAGCAACTTTCAGTGTAGTGTAGTACAAGATATCAACGTAATCTTTCTCGCTTAATTCCTTGAAGCTCTTTTGTGCCAAAAATTAGAGTTTTATTGAAAGTGAAAAAATGTATAAAATAAGTAGAAAATACCTCACAAAAGTTGAAAAAGTTCATGTCAGGGGTTGCTATTGCTTTCAAAAACATTTCAAGAGAAGGTGGTTTTAATTCAAAGCAGAACTCCTCTACAGCATTCAATTGTATGTCTGGTGATTTATCATTATCTGCCGATATAGAAGCAGTTGCACTCAGCTGATTTTGATTTATTGGTTTCGGTTTAGTTGGCGTATTTAAACTAGCTGGAGTTTGAAAAAATACATTCTCTTCGCCACTTAGCTAAAATTAGTTGAAAAAAAAATTACTCTTTTAAAAGAATTTAAATAAATTGTAGAAATTATATACTGGTGTTTGAAAGGCGCTGACTGAGGTTACGTATGCACTAGCATTGCTACTTTCGTCAGTATTATCCTCATCGTCGTCGTCGTCGTCGTCGTCGTCGTCTTCCTCCTCCTCCTCCTCTTCCTCCTCATTGCTATCGTAAATGTCATCTGATCCTTCCTCTCCATCATTGTTTTGTGAATCATTTTCATTTTCAGACTCATTTTCTTCAACCTCAACGAATGCGTTAGGATTAATGGCAGCCTTCATACACTCAATAATGGTTTTTAAACCATCAGACCCGAGCTAAATAAAATACAATATAAATATTTTCAAGACTCAAATAATTAAAGTTCATTTTTTTTATAACTCACAACGTTGCCATCAAGATTAAAAGTTTTTAAGTTTGGTTTATTGAGCATAGCGTTTGCCAAACATATGCCACCTTCACCATTAATTTCATTAAAGCTTAAATCAAGAACTTCTAGATTTTTGTGGTCATCTGCTAATGCATCGGCAAATAAGTAGGCGCCATCCGTTTTAACTAAACAATCGCCAAAGTTAATTTCACGTATTCTAAAAAAAAAAAAAAAATTATCTTATTAAATATGTTTACAGCTAAGGATTGAAAACAAAATTACTTTGGTATGAAAGCGAAAAGTTCAGCCAAATATCCAGCGCCCTTGCGGCCAATGTTATTATCATTTACATTTAGTACATGTAAGTTCGTATTTTCTCTGAAGCCTTTGGCTAGTGCATCAAATCCAACATAATAGATAGAATTTTGCGGCAAACTAATTTGTTCTAATGTCTTGAGTGTACCAAACATTTGTGCAAGTGCTGCAGCACCCTCGTTCTCTAAACGATTGCGTCCGGCAACAAAAACTTTCATTTGCATTGGAGTGCCGGCGCGTAAACTGTTCTCGTGACCTTCGATTATAGCCTTTGAAAGCATTTTACCACCACCAGCGCCAAGACCACAATTGTTCAAGTGCAATTCTTGCAGACTGTAACAGACTGGTGATTTCAAAAGATCTTCTAATCCGACCATACCATTTGGACCTAAAGCGTTGTCGCTCAAATCTAAAACAGTAATCTGTGCTTTTGCGAACATCAAACCATTGCTAAGATGTTTTAAAGCCGCTGGTATTTCATCTATTAGTCTTCTAGTAAACATATTAGGCCACATGGCCTTTTTAAATTCAGGATGACATCTTAGAGCATTACCAATAGCTTCGGCTGCAGGAACCCCCATAGTGTTCCCTCCTAACTTCAGATAATGCACTACCTTACTATTAGTCAAATCATCAACTACATACTGAACTAAAAATTTCATCAGTTATACTAAATACTGCATTCAAAAGATACACATCTTTAAATTACCATCGCTGGCCTTGTCCCATGTCTCTTGACGATCTTCAAACGAAAGTCCAGTTTCATATGGAATTGTGGGCAATTCTTTCGCCAAGTTACCAAGATTAAATTGCGACATATTTAATTAAAAATTTGGCACTAATAATTACGGTTACTTATAAAAACAAAAACTATTTCAAAACTCCATCAAGACAACAGCCCTCACCACATTAATGCTGTCACATATTTGTGTTTCGCGCGATGAAAATAAATTTTGGTGTTGCCATAAAAAAATTTAAAAAACTTAAAATTAGGTTCGTAAAAAAAATTGTTACATTACATAGGCCGTGTGCGAGTTCGAGTAAATTGATGGTAAATTAAGAGAAATAGTAAATTATGTCGGTATGACAACAATGTTGGTATTTACCAGAATTTCGAGTAAAAATTTTGGAAATTTATAAGACATTTAATAAATAAATTAATAAATTTGAAAACTTTTAACCAAAACCAATAAAAAGGTGCAAAATATAAATAAATAAATATTTACATAAGTGCAGTGCAAGAAATTTGCCTGGATGCAGTGACTATGTAAACGTAACACAGTCAAAATAGTAATTTACATATAATATTTGTTTTATAAATAACCGAAAAAGCATTATTTTGGTAGAAAGCTACAAACATGATTTGGTAAATTTTCATATAAGATTTGCATTTATATATGTATGTACATTCATTCAACACTCTATACAAAGTTATTGCTGTTTATTTTGCTAAATGGATTTTCATATTTATAATCAACTTGTCATCTCTGATGTTTAATTTACAGAGTAATGAAGTAATAGCAAAGAGTATACAAAGAGTATTTAATTAAAAAAACAAAAATAAAGTATTTTTCATTTTCACAATTTGTTTTTGAAAAAATCTGAATTGTTTTCTTGTAATTTAAAAGGCGTGATAGCCGCTGTACACAAATGTTTTCGGGCAAATGTCAAATTTGTTGTGAATCAATGAGAAGTTAGCACAACAAAAATAGTTTGCTTCGCACGTACAATTAATTGCATATGAAGAAAAAGTATTTGCATACTAATGTCGTTGCGTTGCTTACGAAAAATCAAGAGGAAACAAAATTAGTTTAAGCACCATATAATAATATCAGACATAAAACCAGAAAGCATTTAACGAAATAAAACAATGAAAATTTGTGCTAAATGTGATATTTGCACAGAGATTTCGGCATGATGTTGCTGTTGCACAAAAAATTCAAAAAAATATTTTTAGCCACAAGACCATTGCATTGGTTAATACTAGGTGCAGTGTGCTTATTCACTTGTGGAGGATATTGGTTTTTGTGGTCTGAGGAGCATTTGGAGACATTACACAATGGTAGCGCAATTTTAAATATCAAGTGATTGTAGCAAATTTAATTTGTATTTTGTTTGTAGCGATTAAGCCTTTAGCGAAAATAGCCGCACCTGGTGTACCTAGTGGTGGTTCAGTTCAATATGTCACACAGAGCACGGTCTCATTTGGAGGTGATGGTTTCGATTACGAAAACCAATTGGTTGTGCTGTATAATCGGGTACCAAAGACAGGTTCCACCAGTTTTGTCAACATTGCTTACGACCTGTGTAAGCGCAACAAATTTCATGTACTGCACATTAATGTCACTGCAAATATGCATGTGCTCTCATTGCCTAATCAGGTAAAAACAGTGTAAAAATTTGTCTGCCTAATATTAGAGTAATATGCAAAAAAATTTTGTTTTGTCTTACCACAGATTTCCTTCGTACGTAATGTAACGAAATGGCATGAAATGAAACCAGCTTTGTATCATGGACACATGGCATTTTTAGATTTCTCTAAGTATACAAAATGCTCATCATATGCAATTCTCATTTATTAATATGTTTTTGTTTTCATATTTTAGGTTTCAAATATCGCATAAACCTATCTATATTAATATAGTTCGTAAGCCGCTCGACAGATTAGTTTCGTATTATTATTTTTTACGTTCTGGTGATAATTATCGACCGAATTTAGTACGCAAAAAAGCGGGTAATAAAATTGTAAGTATTTTAAAAATGAAAAATAAGTGTACTTGTATTATTTGTAACGTGAGATGTTTATTTAAGACGTTTGACGAATGCGTTGAACTTAAGCAACCGGACTGTGATCCTAAGAATATGTGGCTGCAAATACCGTTTTTTTGTGGTCACGCCGCCAAGTGCTGGTATGTGCAGTTATGAGCAGTTAATTAACAAATAGATTTCTTTTATGATTATTTTTATTACTTTTTAAAGGGAACCTGGCAATGCATGGGCACTTGACCAAGCTAAACGTAATTTGGTCAATGAATACTTTCTTGTTGGTGTTACAGAGCAAATGGAAGATTTTGTGGACTTACTGGAAATATCTTTACCGCGGTAAGAACATTTATGACAATTCAAAAAGAAAAAATTTGTTACCAAATCTATCAATTGCTTAATATCAATTGTCACTTCTGGTATAATTTGCTGCTATTGACTTTGGTAGAACTCTGCTAATATTTGAAAAAAGAATTAAGTGCTTTCTATTTGTATTATTGTTTAGTGATACATAGTCCCCTTGAAGTCTGAGCTTATTTCACGACATTCCTCCAAATTAAGTTTTTTTTATAATTCTGTGTTAAACTGTTTTTTTGGATCAATTTTAATTTCATTATTCTCTGTACTTATTGGGAAGCGAATTGTTGAATATGTATTTTAACAGTCTTGGCACACTGTAATTTCCTGTATTACTTCTGAATATATCGTAATTTTATATTAGAGCTTCAATAAAGCGAATTTTCTGTTGAAAGGAGTCGAATATTTTCGATGAAAAGTTTGAACTGCTTTAACACTTTGAGGCACGACTTTATATTTTTGTCTTTAGAATTTAATATTTACCAAAGTTTGGTAAATTTTATTTCTTTTAAAATTTAATCTTTACATGTTACAAACTTCTTTAAACGACACGAAGATGTGGAAAGCTGCAGCGCTATTGTTAAAAAGAAGAAATTCAGAAAAGGCTTTCCAGAAATTAACTGTTGTAAAGAAATTTGATTATTTACTTGGGATGTCAATGTGAATGTTGACTGAAGAGCGTAAGAACGAATTGTTGCGTCAGTGAGATCAAAAGTTAGCTGATCTGGCAAATTTGAAAGCAAAAACCCCAGAGTTATTGTGGTTAAATGTTTTAGATGAATTAGAAAAGAAACTAAATGAAGTGGAAGAACATGAACGTCTGGAGGAACAAGGACTTAACAAGAAAACTGCTAAAGCTTTAGCAGCGAAAGCGAAAGCTGGCTAAAGGCGGAGAAAACGCTTTCATACATCCGAAACCAAATGGTCAAAAGGTAGAATTTAAGTTAATTTTTGTATTATAATTATATAATAATTTAATATAATAATTTTGTATTATATATATATTTTTATATTACTATTAATCAGGTTACTGAAGAAATTATGTTGAAAGTTACAGCTAAACAAATTAAAAAAAAGGTAAAAGAGGAGGTACTGGATGAAATTGATGCACTGGTTGCGGAAGGAGATAAAGAAAAGGGCTATTCCAAAGAAGGAAAACGCTGATACTTCTGGCGATGGTCTTAAACAAGCTAAATTAAACTTTAAATCACAACCCTATTGTTTGTAATCCGAAAAGTTAAATTTCAAATGTTAAAATTATAAACACTTGATCCATTGATCATAAGCAAAAGAAATTTATCAAAACGGTGCCTGAAAACGGTGAAATTCGGTTTTGTGAATTTAAAAATGTTTTTATTTCAAGAAATTAAACTTTATTTTGCAAATTAAACAAAAAAACTGTGTTTTGTTCAAAACAGCTGATAGAGACATATGCTTTTCTTAACGAAAGTAAGAAAGTCTAAATGTGGCGTTGCCACAGTGTAAGTTATATATGCCTTTAAAAACTTAAATAAAAATAAATTTCTGTTTCTTTATAAAACTAAAAATTTTAAATAATTAAATAAACAAACTGCAAATATATTGTGAATCTATTTTTTTTTTGCCAATTCTCACTGTAAAATTTCCGCTTGATTTTTGCCATCGAGTTTGAAAAGTTAATTACAAAAGTTGTTACAATTATTGAAATGGTATTATAAAAATTTTAACGTTTTATATAATAATCAAATACAAAAATTTATAAACTTCAATAATATTCTGTATAAGATTGAGAACAATAAACATTTCAAATAAATTTTAAATTTCGGTGGAGCGCTCGCCACCGTTAGAGCAAGTAAACCCTTCCCGCTTTACCTGTAATGGAAAGTTAAAATAAAAAGCTTTCCTGGAGCCAACAATGTTCAACTCCAACAAAGACCTTTTCAATAAATGCAATGTTCTCTTCAAGCATGCCAATCTCTGCGGAAATTACAACTACAACAACAACATCAACTTCATCAACTATAACAACATTAACATCAACATCTTCTAATCCAATAATGTCGGTAAACTCTGTACAAACTAAAACAACATCAACTAAAACAAATAGCATCACAACACCGTTGAAATCAACATTTTGTCCAAAAACAGGCAAATTAGTGAAAAAAAATATATAAAAGTAATGCTAATAAAACAAACAATTACGCAAATGCAGATCAACAAAAATTAAAACGCGAAGACGAGATAATCAATCTCCACTCAAACCTTCGATTGAAAGCAACAGTAACAGAAAACATAAAACTAAAAAACAATGCAGTGCACAAACAACATTACTAGAATATTGGCTTAGCAACCCAAGCACAGACAGATTTGAACTGCTTAGAGAAGATGACGACACACTAATTGTACAAGCTCACAGTGGAACAAATACGAAAACAACCACACTGGAACAAAAATATTCAAAAAAACCCAAACCTGTTCCAATTCACGTCTAACAATCGAACAAAGCACTTTAATAAATGCACTAAACCCAATAGAAAATAATTGTAAATATGATATAAAAGTTCTACCAAAAAATGAAGTCAAACTGCGACCATTTGACTCAATTCATTACACTAGCATAATAAAGATACTAAAAGAAAAAAATACCGAATATTACACGTATAAACCGAAGGAAGAACGAGGTTTTAAAGACTTCCTTCGTGGCATTAAAACGTCTTCATGAAAACGCACATGAAATCATAAATATCCAAAACATATTACAACCACGAACTAATAGGCCATTAAATTTATTCTCTATAGAATTAAAACAAAATGTAAATAACAAAGAAATTCACTCAATTCAGTATTTGCTTCACTGCAAAATCCAATTTGAGCCACCTCGCCCTCTAAACGTTATACTTCAATGTACAAACTGTCAAAAATATGGACACACAGAAAATTTCTGCACCAAATCACCGGTTTGTGTTAAAGCTGCAGGAAGTCATAAATCCGTCAGCTGTCCAACAAAAGGAAATACTGGAAACTGTATGCGGAGAAAAGCATACAGCCAATTACAAGGGATATGAAGTGTACAAATCATTTAAAATCAAACGATATCCAATCATGAGAGAAAAAGGAACACCCGTTCAAACAAGTTATCAACAATCTTCTTATACAACAAACAATACAACCACTCAAAACACAAATGCCAACATCCCACAAACATTATCATATGCCCGAGTTACGCTCCAAACACCTGTTGAATCTAACTCTTACAACTCAGAACTCGCAGAGTACAAAGAAATGACAAAAACATTGATAACATAAATGTCAGGAATGATGAACATTTTTACGGCGTTAATTACAAAAATCAATGGGTAAAATCAATCACTACGTTTACGCGAGTCTTAAAATCACTTTTAAAACTGATTTTAAAATTTGTTCTTGGAGCGTTTACGCACAAGAATTAAAAGCACTTTTAAGGTAACTGTCAATCAATCAGCTGTTTAACAGCAAACATGTTGATTTTAAACATTTTAAAAATGAATATGGTAAAACTACAAATTGTTTTACTTTTATTGCAAAAAAAATATATTATAACCAAAATTGTAGAAAATAATAATAAAGCAACAATACTAATTTTAAAATCATTCCGTAAAAAATTTACAAAATTACGAGAAATGCGATTGCAGCTCTTTAATAAAATGGCAATACGTTCTGTTAATGAGGCTTTAATGAATGTAAATGTTTTTATAAAGTTTTTCATAAAATATTTAGAATGCATTTTTGTTTTTAGCTTCCACCACGAATAAGAACTTTTAGCAAAAGCAAGAGAAGTTCGGAGTGGTGGGATGTTGAAGTTCTGCAGTTCTATGACGATGAACAATGGATTGCTGATTTTCGAATGAATCGACAAATATTCTTCAGGCTTGTAGATTTGCTTAAGGATAAAATGGCACCAGCAGAAAATACTTTCGTTGAAGGGTTGTCTGTTGAACAGAAAATAGCTATTGCAGTTCACAAACTTGCCTCTTGTGCTGAATACCGTGTAATTGCAAAGCGATTTGGAGTATCAAAAAGTACTGTTTGCTTATGTGTTCACAGTTTCTGTAAAGTTTTAATTGAAAACCAAGTCGGCAAAATATTATTCTGGCCAAATGCATCAGAATGTGAACACATAGCCTCGAGATTTGAACAAAAATTTAAACTGCCAAATATTATTGGTGTTATAAACGACACTCATGTGCCAATTAAACCCCCACAAAACGGTGCTGCAGACTTTCGTAACAGAAAGGGTTATAGTTTCATTGCAGTGCAAGCTATTGTGGATGATCAATATTTATTTAAAAATATGACAGCACAAAATCCTGGCTGTGCACACGATGCATCAGTGCTTAGGGACAGTTCTCTATACAAAAACCATAATACATTAAGTCCTGAAAGCCATAGGGAAATCGACGGAATTTACAACGCCTCAAATGAAGCTATGCTTTTTAAACTTCCTTATTATATTATTGGTGATGCAGCTTATCCGCTTTGTAACTGGATTATGAAAAATTATAGGGACGAGTTAACTGTTGAAAAGACATCCTTCAACTTACATTTGAATCAAGCACGAATTGTTGTGGAGCAAGCATTTGGTCGCTTGAAAGGAAGATGGAGAATACTTTATAAGAAGAGCGACCGGGATGTTTACAATATGCCGCATGTGATAATAGCGTGCGGAATTCTTCACAATTTTGTGGAGATATCTAAACAACGTTATAATTCCTCATGGGACGTAGAAAGAATCCACGGTGAAAGTAAATATCCCCAAAATGAACAGATGTACAATCGACAAAATTCGTCGTCTGGACATCTTATGCGAGATCATATATGCGCGTACTTGGCGAGAAAATTTCCACTTCTGCATAGAAGCAATTAAAAAAATAATGTAGAAAAAACCAATTTTTAATTAATTAATTTATACGTTTATTTATAACTAACAATATAATATATATAATACTAGCTGACCCGACGAACGTTGTTTCCCCTTGCAATTAATTTTCCTGGCTCAGCTGAGTTATAATATTTGTTGTTATTCAACTTAACCTTTAGCATTTTAATACGAAAATTATTTTGAATTGATTTTTTCTTTTGAACTACAAAAAGTCCACATGCATTACTTATGTTACAAATATTTTCAAATCCTTATAAGCACTGCATTTTAAATGAAAAAAGAATATCAATGGATATTGCAAAGCGTCGTAAGAGCGATAACTGTCATCAATCGTATGCACTGTGTTATCTCTGCGTTGTATTCATATATCTTGACGTTCAAATGCGTCGCCAACCATAACAACTGCAACTTCATTAATAGTCGGTGCATTATATCGGCCCGCATGCTGCCCAGATGGTACTTTGTCTGCTTTTATGACGATTGTATAGTTGTCGTTTAGCAGTCGGTTTGAAACGGTATTGAACAACTGGACCAACTGGTTGTGATTTTTTAAAAACGGTTCTAAAATACCCACAATTTCTTGCTCCTCCATCTGCTCGATATGGTTGTACTGGCAACGTGCGTTTATTTGCTACTTCTCATCACCCATGAAGTAGATTTGCAGAAATTTGGGATCGTTATTGGGCATCGGCATTAAAGAACCAATTTAGTGATACACTTAGCCCTGAATCTTAAATGTTGATTGAAAATTGCGACCATTCTAATTCTGAACGATTTTTGTTGCTCCAAATGATGTCATTTGAAAGCACGAATTGAATTTGCGAATTTTACGAAAAAACAATTTAGATTGAGATGTAGCTCCAGCCAATAGTGCTTTCATTGGTTCTGGCGGCGAATTCAATGGTGGCAATACAACTTTTCCAGATGCGCAGCAGAAACCTGCCGATTCACCTTGGTATTTGAGTGCATGACAGTGTTGGCACTGTTTGTTCATAGCACCGATTACAATTCGTGAATGTGACGAATAGTCGATAACCGACTCATATTCAAACGCAAGGTGATGAAATGATGAACGTGTCAATGCCCGATTCATCCGAACCACCTTGCAAGGAATCTATTGCTAACGCGGCCTTCGTCAAGATTAAGCAGAAAAGATGTACCAACGCACTGATTCCTTTTTCTATCTTTATACATTTACTTATTATCAACCTTATTTA